ATAAATATTAATGAACTTTTAGTACATTTGAATTACCATTTCTATTTATTTTTTTTTTCTTTGTATTGTTTGTTTAATACTATAACTATTTCAAGTTTATCATTTATCTTTGTTGTTATTAAACAGACTTAATAACCTTATTCAATTCATTGAAATCTCTTCTAAATCTTCTCATTTTTTACATTTATGTATCAATGTTCTTATTCTACCTACTTCTTTTTATTTCTCTTTAATCGTTTATTTTTTTTTTTGATTCTATTTAATTTGGTTCAGTTTCATTATTCCACTCAGCTTTATGATTCTGTTTTTAATACCAACAATTTTTAATACCAACACCAGCTTTAATTTATTTCATTCATGTATTGATATGATATATTCTTGTTATCTTATCAAAGTGTATTTACTCTAATAAAAATCTTTTTCCATTCTTCTTTACTTAGCAAACAAAAGACATTATGACTCTAAATATATTATACCATCAAGACAGTTCTAAATATCAAATTGATTAAAATTTAATAACTCTTCTTTCAATATCATTGTCTCTGTTGTTCTCACTTCTGTTTATCTAAGATTATCCTTTCATTTTGTTAAAACTCCTTTGTATCTATTCTATTTTTTTTATTATTTGAATGCTCATTTTCTTATCATCCAATGTCTTCTCTGTAATAACTCTCAAATTTCCATTTTGTTTCTTCTTGTATATTGTTTCTTCTTACTAATATCAACTTTATGGCAATGCTCTTATCTTCTTTGTCGTGTCTCTAAGTATATTCTCTTTCCCCTAAATTACGTGTGTTATGCAAAACTTCTTCTTTCTTAGAACCATTAGTCTAGTACCTTCATTCAATCTCTTTATCTTTTTAATAACATTAAAATGTTTCATCAAATCGAATTTCCAAATAGTACAACTAATATATGTTATACAAATATTCAAATTTGTGGCAACTTATCTTCTTCATTTGTGTCACATCTTCCAAAACAAATTATACATCATTTTGTCATTTGTTCTTTTGTCTGATAATAAGAGATAGCACTAATTCTCTTCATAAGAGTCATTAAAATTTACACAGGGAAGATGTTTAAATAAAACCAGAACAATTCTATTCAATGATGAACATACAACACTAATATCAAAAACACAGAAAACTTGAAAACAAAAAAAACAAAACCATCAAAAATGGAAAAAACACCAAGAAATTCTGTGGATGATTTGCTAATGTTGTTTGAAGATGTTAAAGACAATAATAAACCAGTAGACTATACCAAACTAGAGAGTGAAGAAACAAAAAAGACAGAGAATAAAGAGAGGAGAAAATCACTGAGTATTAATGTAAATGATGAAATACCCGAAAAAAGAAAGAGAAAAAGCATAAAACAAGAAGGAACTCCACAACCCAAAGTGGGAGCTGTTTTTGAAATCCAATACCAACACTTACCAAATAAAATAGATATTTCTGAATTAAAAGAATTACTTGAAAAAATACCAAAAATGGAAGGGAAAATAATGTTTAATGAGAAAAATCTTGAACAATCAATTGTTATTAATTGTACAAACAACGGAATTCATGCACTAATTGGAAACAGTTATGTTGTACTCAAAAAAGAACTACTCCCAGAAATTATTAATAGTAGGAGATTGATTATTGTATATAACTTAATGGAAGAAATCAAAAATTATAGAAATAACATTAAATGTATTTTGGAAAATTTCAATACAAACAATACAATCTTCGACACTTATATTGGAGCATCAACAATAGATCCAGGAAGTGTTGATGGAAAAACATTTAGTCAAATTTGTTTAGTCTATGAAGTTATAATAAATAAAAGTACTATAGAAGAAAGATTGAAACAAACACGTAGACTTGCAGTGAAAGAAGTAGAGGTTATGAATAATGATAATATGATAAAAGTATTTCAAGAACAAGAAATGATTATTGATGGAGTTTTGATTGAAATGAATTATTGTAATGAATTTAAAATAGATAATAAATTATTGAATGAACAACGAAAAAAATTAATTGAAGAACAACATAAAATAGAAATGGAAACAAAGAAAATTATAGGAAGAACAATTAATTTATCATCTCCTGAACAAGTTAAGAAAGAACTTATACGATTTAATATTGGAATAGATGGAATAAAGAAGAAGGCAACAACAGACAAAAAGATACTCAGTCAATCAGATCATCCATTTGCTAAACTTGTTCTTGAGTATAGAAAAATTTCTAAACTTCTGTCTGGTGTAATTGAACAAATCAGAAAATGTTGTATTAAATCAGGTGATGAATATTTTATTAGAACTACATGGAGCCAAACAGCAATTGTAACAGGAAGAATTCAATCTAAAAGTCCTAATCTTCAACAAATTCCAAAACAATCATTTTCACTTCCACAATGCTTAATAATCCCAAGAGACTTATTTATTACACATAACAATAATACTTTTGTTGCAATTGATTATAATCAAATTGAATTAAGAATTTTAGCTGATTTTACAAAAGACCATCATTTAATTGAATTCTTTAAGTCAAATACTGATGTTCATAGACTTATTGCAGCACATTGGCTTAAAAAGAATGTAAATGATATTACTGATGATGAAAGAAGAAAAGCTAAAACAATTGTGTATGGATGTATTTATGGAATTGGTCCATTTTCATTGGCTGACCAACTTCATGTTTCATTAGATGAATCTAAAGCCTTTTTAGAATCTTTTCTTGACCAATTCCCAGCATTTAAAAAATGGAAAGAAGAAACTATTACCAACGCATCAACAACTGGTTTTGTACATACTATTAACAATCGAAGAAGAAGAATAAATAATTTAACAGACTGTAATGATAAAAAGACAGTTGCAGAGTCTAAAAGAATTGCAGTTAATTCTCCAATTCAAGGTACTGCTGCTGATATTATCAAAATGTGTATGATTGAAATATTCAAGAAATTACATTCAAGTTGGGTAGGTGTTCAACTCTTATTAAATATTCATGATGAAATCGTTTTAGAAGTACCTGATCATTTACTTGATGAAGTTTGTGTTACATTAAAACATCTAATGGAACATATTGTCAAACTTGAAGTTCCTCTTGTAGTTACTGTTGAAACGGGAAAGAAATGGGGTTCTCTTCATCCTTACAACTTGAATTAATTCATTTATTATAAATGTTTATTTCATTTAATGCTTACTTGAAAGTAAATACTCTTTTAACACTTTTGAATATAAAGTCTTTGTATCAATTCAACCAACCTAATAAATATCATCAATTCTATTCACTAATAACCATCACAATTAATGTTATCATAATTAAAACCAGTTATAATAACATCAAATAAAAATGGTTATTAAGCATTTCAAAATAACTTCAATAATAATACCATTCATCACTGAATAAAAACAAACATCATTGGTATCATAAAACAAATATTTGAATTTTAAATAACCATTGAAGACTGATATATTCGTTCAAGAAAATACAATAAAAATACAACGGATATTTCACAAGAAAATTAACTAAAAGAAAGAGTATGTAATGTAAAAGACATAGAAAAAATCAAAAAAACTACAACAACAAATTGTTTCAATTCTTGATATTTTGAAAGTAGTAATAAGAAACATCACTACAGGAATAATGCCTAAATATTCCATTGGAATAGAACATCACTAATTAACTTCAATAACATTAGAATAAAAAGTCATATCGAAGGTAAGAAGTTTTATCAATGACAATAGATGAAATGTAAATAATGAGTAAATTTCAAAACTAATTAATGGAAACTAGGGACAAAAACATGTTAGAATAAATTACAAAGTATTGTAGTGATTAAAAAGAAAAATAATTTATTATATAATATTTAGCAACAACAGTAATACCATTTTATTCTTCCATTTGTTATAATTATCATTTATGTATAACTTCACTATTAACTAGAGATTAATTCTATTTAACTAAAGTTATTTGTACTAATATTTTCTAAAAGATTATTTTTGGTTTTTATGAAATAAATACTTTTTATTCTAAAATAAACACTTATTTATTTATTTATTTATGGTTTTATAGATTCTTCATTTATTTAATCGTTTTAATTATTTAGTATATCTATTGGGTTGTGTTAGTTTATTATTTATTTTGTTAAACACATGACTGAGTATGTATTTTGTTCATTTTGTCATCAGCTTGGATATTATTTGTTTATCATTCGATTTAAATAAAATAATAAGGTGTTGTGTTATAATTATAGTTAAGATGGATATAATTCATGACTATCACCTTATTTACACCTAATAATTATATCACATAAATATGAAATAAACTTTTTTATTTATTCTTGATGATTAATTTCATTGATAGAATGTGTCAATAACTTAAAATGAATTAAGTGACTTAAATTTTTGTAAATTTTATTGTGTTTTTGTTTATTTTATTCATTATTGGTAGATTAATTAAGACTATATTTTGTCATATCAACTTCTTTTAATATTTTAATACATACTTTCTATAATTATTTTGTTATAATCCATTCACAATAAAAATAACTTATTTTGTAAATATTTGATTTAAAAATATGTTTGTAATATTTTTTATATTGTTTCTTTTTTTTATTTTCGTACACTATTCTCATTTTTATTGAAATTTTTATGTAATTTATCTTCATTCTTCATCACGTTACTCTTTTTGGTTATTATTGCATATTCTATTATTGATAAGTTGTGATTATCATCACCCAGCAAATAATTACTTCAAATGTTTTGGCATAAGTCATGAGAATGTTGATTTCTGAGTATTGAAAAGGAGTCATACTGAATGAAACAAAAAGGAAGAAAAAAGTCCAAATTGTAAAAGAATCAGCTAAAACAAAAATAGGAGAATCATATAAATTATCAAAAGAAAAGATCAATTAAAAAACAAATGAGTTCGACGCCAAAATAAAGAAAATAAAAATACAAATCTTCTTTAAATAGAAAAAACTAAAAAAAGAGGAACTATTAAAAAAAAAGAATGAGTGATAAAGAGTATATGAGCAGTTGTGATCCAGACGAAGAATTAGATTTAAAAATTGCAAAGAAATATGATATTGTACAAAAAATAGGTAAAGGGGCATATGGAGTTGTTTGGAAAGCTGTAGATAAAACTACTCATGAAACTGTTGCTTTAAAAAAAATATTTGATGCATTCCAAAATGCCACAGACGCTCAAAGAACATTTAGAGAAATTATGTATTTACAACGAATGGATCATGAAAATATAGTTCAATTAGTAAATGTAATGAAAGCAGAAAATAATAAAGATATTTATTTAGCCTTTGAATATATGGAAACTGACCTTCATGCAGTTATTAGAGCTAATATATTAGAAGATATTCAAATTCGATACATTATTTATCAGTTATTAAAAGCCTTAAAATACCTTCATAGTGCTGGAATTGTTCATAGAGATATTAAACCATCTAATTTGTTACTTAATTCTGACTGTCTTCTTAAAGTTGCTGATTTTGGATTAGCTCGTTCTCTTGATAAAGAAACTCTTCAAACAGATTACGTTGAAACCCGATGGTATAGAGCTCCAGAAATTTTATTAGGTTCACAACGTTATTCTTTTGCAATTGATCTTTGGAGTGTAGGGTGTATTTTAGGTGAAATTATTAATGGTAAACCTTTATTCCCTGGAAGTTCTACATTAAATCAATTAGATAAAATTATTGAAGCTACTGGTCAACCTTCAGCTGAAGATCTTGAAGTTATTGATTCTCCACTTTCAATGAATCTTTTATCAAGTCTTCCACAACGTGAAACAAAAGGGTTAGCAGAGATTGTTCCAAAAGCTTCAGACGATGCTTTAGAATTAATGGAAGAATTATTAACATTTAATCCTGAAAAACGTGCAACAGCAGAAAAAGCTCTTGAATCTACATTTGTTGCTGATTTTCATGACCCAAATGATGAACCATCAGCACCAGGTAAAATTACAATTCCAATTACTGATAATCATAAGTATTCAATCAATAATTACCGTGGTTCATTATATGTTGAAATAATGAGAAAATATCCACAAAATTAATACTTTTTCTCTCAATTGAATTTTTTACTATTTCTTTTTTTTAATATACACATTTTTCATAAATTCATTGATCTTCTTCGGTTTAATCGGAAATAACAAAATATTCCTCTTTTAACAAATTTATAATCTGTAGATTAATTTAATTCTGATAAAATCTATGAACAAATTATGTTTAGTTAAGATAAATTACTTATTGTGCTTGTTAAAATTAGACTTAGACTCAATACACTACTATTCATTCATTGTTTTTCATACACAAATGGAATATTTGTTATTATTAATTATATGGTTATAAGTTTAATGGTTGGTAGATTTACTTATAATCAATTGAAACGAACAATATAAATAATAAGGGTTATTTTGCTTTTTGTTTATGATTAAACAGTTAATCCAAGTTGGAAAACCTCTTATTTACTATTTAACTTAATGTGGCATTATTCTTACAGATAGTCATAACGTTAATACCCTTGGAAATTGGTATTATATTACTTCTAATGGAAAACAACTTAATCTGTATGAAGAAAATTACATAGAATCAGAACAAAATATTTCACATTTTTCTTTTTTCTGGTTTGTAACCATGATATTGAACTACAAATTCTTCAATATGAATAAACGTTATTTTGTTGATGTATGATATAATTTAAAATTTTAATTGGTTTCTTTTTTTATTCTTTCATCACTATAATTAGTGTAAAGTATTATTTATCTACGTAATGTTTCTTATTTTAAAAAAAATACTAAAATTCGTTTATTCTTAGAGATTTAAATCAAATAAATATTAATACCATGTCTACATATTTACAATAAAACGAATCATAATTATTTATTTTGTTGTCAACATTTCTAAAGTTATTATTAACTTGTTATTTATTTATTTATTCTTTATAAATAACAAAAAATAATAATATTTATGAATATCATTCACTAATTGATGCATTTCTATTACTATTATTCAACATTTCATTTTACATCTCTTATTCTCTTATTTTCTCATATTTCACAATTACTCAACAAATGAAAATGAAATTTACTTTTAATAATTAATATTTCATTATAACTATGTTGATGTTTCTCAATAAATCATTTTTTAAAGTGTTTTGAATGTTTCAAATAAATAATATATATTAAATTGTCATTTTATATCATTTGAATATGTACTATTGTTATTAATCAATTTGTGAATGAATTATATCAATCATCAGTCAATATATTGAATAAAATTGAATATGTTTATTTATAATTTCTTATTCATTTGATATTAATTATTATATTTCTCATTCAGTTTCTGTTTAAATTGAATGAAAGTAAATTGATTTAAATGAAAGTTATTAAATAAAATAATATCAATGATTATCTCAGAAGATTATTTGTATTTTTATCAAAATTAAAAGTAGATGGAATGATTGTATTTAAATGTTAGTACATCAATTAATAACCATAAAATTCAATTTATTATTACCATTAATACAATTCTCATTTATTTTTAAAACAAATATATTTGAAATAAAACACTTAAATAAGATAATGTTAATAAATGATAAAAAAGATAATACAAATATAATTAATATTAATGAAGATCAAAATAATAAACAAATTAATGAAATATGAGAAGGGAGATATTGTAATGAATATAACACTGTAATAATGTTAATTCAAAAAAATTTCAATGAAATAAAATAATAATAAAAATAAAATAATAAATATTTTATACTAAATAATTATAATAATAAAACTATAAATATTAACTATTTCATAATTAATTTCAATATAATTTCTTATTAATATTTAAACTATTTCATTATAATATCTACTAATACAGAAAATTGTTTTTATGTGGTTTTGGTTTTTCTTTTAAAAAAGATTGAATGAAACCAAAAGGATGAAATAAGAAAATAAACCATTTCAATACTGTTTAATTGATAATATTATTCTTCTACCAATATTAAGAGAAATTGGTTATTTTCAATACTCAAGTCAAATAAAAGTTTTTAAGAAAATAAGAGTTTCATTATTTGTAACAAAAAGATATGAAAGTACATTTGATTTATATTTAACTCTTTTTACACATTAAAACAATTTCTCTTTGTTAAATGACAACATTGTTTAGTTTTATATTTTATTATTATTTTTATTTACAAAAAATTACTTTATCACAAATGTATCAGAATAGCTGATAATAATTTTTGTAATTGCCATTCATCAACCTTAGTAGTATTGCCACATACCACTACTTGGGAAATAATGTTTTTAAAAATTTTTTAGCATTTCTTCTATTTTATTATCATCAACTCTTATTTGTATTGGACAATTATGGTTAGAAAATTTATTTGTTTAATAGAGTCAAACATACTTTTTCTAAAATGTACTTTGTTTTTATCATTTACATTCCCCTTTCATAAAAACCACAGAAAATTTTATGAAAATAAAAGAAAAAGACAAATGGAACAGTTGTTTTATTTGATATCAATATTTATAGAACAAAAAGACATAAATTATTTTATATAAAATAATAAAGATAATTATTAATGAGGTAATAATTAAACAACGAAATCATTAATGTTTTATAAAATAGAATATGAAATAATATTAACAACAATAAAAGGAAATTAAACGAATAATAAAATTGTTAAAACTAAAATGAAAATCTTTGTTGAGACATTTACTGAAAATGCTATCAAATTAAAAGTAAAACTAATTGATTCTATTGATGGTAGTAAATCCACGACTTAATAAAAAGAAAAAATTTCACTAAATTGACAAATATTAATTTTTGTAGGAAAACAATTAGAAGAAGGAAAGATACTTTTAGATTATAACATTCAAAAAGAATCAACATATCGTTTAGTATTAGGAATATGAGGATGATATTAACTTATTAATTTTAATATTGAAATTTTTTTCTTTTATCTAAACTCATTGATAACATAAACTTTCATTAAGTTATTTGATTTATTTTCTTCTTTTTGTATTAGTTGGTTTTCTTCAACCATTTTCTATAGTCTGTTCAGTATTTCTCTTTTTCATTTATTGAAATGTATAAATAAAAAGAATAGAAAGGTAAAGTTAAGGTTATTAATGATAATGTGTTTTAAGTGCTTTGTTTGGTACTGAATAAAATAATAAAAATAACGAGTTAGTTTATTTTTCTTTAAATAACTCAATTAATTTTTATTGAACCTATACTTTATATGATTTAGATAAATCAACCATTTACGAGGTAATTAAGTTTGTATTCATTTATAGTATGGGTATACATTTATATATACTTCCTTTTCCTTGTTGGGGTTAAGATAAACGCTGATTATTTTTCTTTTATAATCGACTAAAAACCGTTTTAGTTGTAAAGAAATACTATGTATGGTTAATACAAAAATACTCCCTAACAATTCAAACTAGCATAATAACTTGTTTTCTTGTTGTTTATAAATTTATAACATTATTTAAAATTATAGAAAATATGGAAAACAGACTATTGATTAAGAGAGTTTTGTTAATTATTGTAAATGGAAATGAATTATTAACTAAAAGGTATTGGTTTGGTTCTTCATTTTTTATGTTGAAAAAAGAAATTTTTACCAATAAGATGAAAAATAATGAATTTTTATTTTTTTTTCTGTCAATACAAGAAATTCTTTGTGTTTTGTTTTCATTATAAATTAACAGAATTTAGATATTTTCATATTTTAGTTATCTTATCAATACATTTTTTATTTGCATATGATTAATTTTGTTGTCTGTCAATAATTAAAGAAATAATAAAACGTTCTTATTACATTTTTCTATTTTTTTGTCTTCAATTTGTTCATAAAAACCACTAATAATATCAATAGTTTCAATCAATTATTACTGTAAACTGTTTCTAACATTCTTACAATTTTATCTATCGTTATTCTTTCTTTTGGTTCTTGTTCCCATGACTTTTCAATAATTTCTTTAATATCTTCTTCTACTTCTTGTATTATGTTTGGTCGTTTACCTATTGTGATTGTATCTGCTATTGACCATGGATGTGGATATAATGTTTTAGGAAATGGATCTTGCCATGTAATGATTTGTAACATTGTTATTGAAAATGAATATATATCTGATTGCATTTTGTAATGTTGACGATTTAATATTTCTGGTGCCATGTATTTTGGTGTTCCTATCCCTTTTGTGAATGTCATATTTGTCATCATCATATTAATGTTTCTTGCACTTCCAAAATCCGTTAATTTACAATTAACTTCAATGTTATCATCAAGTGATACAACAAGAAAATTAGCTGGTTTAATATCTCGATGTAATATTCCATTTGAATGAAGATATGAAATTCCTTTTGCTCCATCTATCATAAATTTGATTCTTATTTTCTTTGGTATTTCTGTAATGTTTCTTTTGTTCATTATATCTTGTATTGATCCATATTTTGCAAACTCTGTTACCATACATATTTTATTAGGAATAAATACTGCTCCATAAAAATGAATGATATATTCATCTCGAAATTTATCTAACATTGCTACTTCTTTCTCAAATTCTTTCTTTTTATCTTCACTTTTCTCAATTTGTTTCATTTTCTTAATTGCTACTTTATTTCCTCTAAATTCTCCAACATAAACAATTCCAAATGTTCCTTCTCCTATTTTCTTTTCTTCTTTTATTTCATCAGGATCAAGTCGTGTTGATATTTCTGTTTCTCCTTCAATAGAAATACTTTTGATTGTTTCTTCTTGTGCTTTATTAAGTGTTTTACTAATTATCATTATTTTATCTTTGATTTTAGTTGTACATTTGATTGTAATGAATACTTCAAATTCACATGCATATCCTCCTTCAATTGTAATGACATTTGGGTTTGTTCTAATTGAATATTTCTCATTTTCTTCTTTACTACTTATTTGTATCTTCATCTTTTCTTTCTTTGAATTTCCAATACAAATCAATTCTCGTATTTCTTCATTCACTTTAATTTCTTCTCCTTCTTGAAGTTCAATTTCTTTCTTATTTGTTAATATTCCATCTCCAAGTGATATGAATTTGATATTTGATTGTGTTATTTTGAATATTGTTGTTGTTTTCTCTCGTTCTTTCTTTTCTTTTCTCTTCATTATGTAATTAACCATCATTATTATCATTACAATTGTTATCATAATGATAATAACTATAATAATGACAATTATCATTATCATCCACCATACTACTTCTTTATTACATTCATTTCCTTCTTCATTCGTTCCATACCAAAATGAACATTTCCAACATTTATTATTCTTTACTTCTTTACATTTATTAATATCTAAATAGTAGATACATTCTTTATTTTTTAATATATATTCATTTTCACAACTATTACATTCATTCTCTGTTGAACATCTTGTACAATTCTCTTTACATTTCGAACATTCTTTATTTATTAAATAATATCCTTCTGAACATTCTCTACATCCATATTCTTTATCTATTTCTCCTTTACATCCTTTAACTTCGTCTATTGATTTACATTCTCCTATCCAACTCATGAAATATTCATCTGCACATGTTATACATTTATCTTTTTGATTGCATGTTTCACACATTCTTTCACATATTTCACATCCTTTTCCATTTCTATAATATCCTTTATTACATATTCCACACCCACTTCCATCTGCTAATAATTGTAAACATGTTCCATTTAATTCTTTATTTGATTGACATGTTCTATTACTACTTAAATATGTATCACTAGAACAACTCATACAATATGTAGCTGAACCATAACATGTTGTACAATTATCATCACATTTTGAACATTTCATATTTGTTGTTAAATAATATCCATCTAAACATCGTTTACATCCATATGTATTTTGTTCTTCACACTTTTCTATTGTTGTATTAATACATTCTCCTTTTGAATTAAGTAATAGTTCATTTGAACATTCAACACATTTTCCATTAACATATGATTCATTTGAACAATTTGAAATATTGGAATTACATTTTCCATTTTGATCTTTTATCTTTCCTTCTTCACATGTTTTATTTATACATTTATTATTATCTAATCGTTGGTTATTTTTACATTTTAATTTAATACCATCTGAATTACATATTGCTGATTTTGTACATTCTATACATGTATTATTCTTGATGTATTTTCCATTTTCACAATATATTTCTTGGTTCTTTCCATTTTGATTCTGTTTTTTACTAACACATGTTCCATTATTTAATGTATATTCATTTGAACATGAAACACATTCATTTCCTTCATAATAACATTCTTTTTCTTCATCTTTAACACATGTATTATTTTCTAATTTATGTCCATTTGAACATTTTAAACAATAATTTCTTTCTGACTTCTTACAATTATTCATTCTTTTGCATTCTCCATTTTCTTTGACATATCCTTCTTTACATTGATAACAATGCGGTTCATTTCCAAATTTACATATATTTTTAGGTTTAGTACAAAGTCTTGTATTTAAATTAATATAATATCCATATTCACATTCAACACAATGACTTTGATTTCCAACAATACAATTTGGTTGTAATGACTCACATTCTTTCATTGAATTAAGATAATATCCTTTTTCACAATGAATACATTCAATTACATTTTCTTTGTAAATCATACTATCACAGTGATAATCATTCTTGCAATAACCAAATGTAATTCCTCCCATACCAATAAACATTATTTGACTTTTCATTGATGATGTTGTTTCTGAAAACTTTATTTTGTCTAAAATTGATAATGGCTTTGATGAAGAAATTATTACTGTTGAAATTGACTTGTCACTATCTTCTACTTCTTTAATTAATGTTACTGTACCTTCATTTGATTTTCCAATTGTTAAAGTAAATTCAATTCTTTGATATGGTTCTTTCATTCTATAAATGTTGAGAGTTGTTTGATTTGTAGATTCATATTTTAACCATTGATTAGGATATGTATAAACTGTATGAATCTTTGATGAGTTATAGTTATTGATGATAACATAATTATTAGTTGATAATGAGATCAAATAATTATCATTAGGTAAAGATAATAAAGATACATATACGGTAATAACAAATGAATTAAAGTCATCTTCATCGTCTTTTGTAAATGTACGTGTACATTCTGATGTTATGTCATGAATTATAATATTATTTTCGTAGAAATAACGAACCATCCCACTACATGTTTGAATTAAAAGATTCAGTTGAAGTAATGATGAGATAAAGGTTCCTTTATGTGATGATATCAAATACTTTATTCCATAATCTGGTGTTATTCCCAATAAACTGTTGGTTGAAGAAAAGTAAGTTCGTTGAATTGGTAAATGATAATTATTATCATTATTATCATTTCCTGAAACATATATTATATCAGCATCTCCAGTTATTTTTGATGGACTATTTCCATTGTAGAAATCAAAGTTAATATAATTGAATGAATAGGAGTTTTTAATCAAATGAAGTTCAAAATCTGTTTCAATATTTTTAAAATATAGATGAGAACAGCAACTAGTTAAGTTTTGTACTAGTTCTATAGTAACATTACGTGCCTTGAAAATATGTGTTGATGAACCAAAAAAAATGTCATTATTAACAGTTGAAAATCTAATTATCACTGACTTATATTTAGAATAATCATATAAATAATTATCTATGGAATAAGAGTCTGTACTACAACCAGAACTACTAATATAAATTATTGCATTATTGTCTGTTTCTTTTTGGCACAATGTTTCTCCAAAGCAATAAGAAATTAAAGTCAGCAATAAAAAATAATATGTCATAAATGACATTTCTAGTTCCAGTATTTAAGTATTTAAAGAGAGGTTATCTACTTGATTTAAGGACCTTATTCTATACTTTTTGTTCAACACTTGGAATATTCTTTAAAACAACTATGTTTTTGTTTTCATTCACATGTTATTTCTGCATGTCTCATTACAGAAAGATTAAAATTTTGAACAACTAAGAGTTAAAATTTAATAAAATCTTTTCAAGATATAAACATTTCCTTTTTTAATTTATTTTTATTTTTATATTCCAACTACACAGGTAATATTCTTTGTTAGTTAATGTTCAAAAATAAATAAAGATATTTATAAATAAATTGACGTAATTTTGTTGTCTTAGATTAAAATAAATTAATGGAGTTCCTTTTATCGTGTAACAGAAGTTTATAATGTGTAATTGAAACAAATCAATAAAATTGACGTTAAACAAAACTATATTCACAACAGTCAAAACGTCAAATTAAAAAATCAATTTTATTTCACTTTAGATACCAAAATTTTAATTTATAAATTTTTCATTTTATCACTCAAATTTACTTGGTTTTATTTATTTTCTTTTACCTTCTTAATAACTGAGTTACTGTAAAACTTAGTACTAGTTTTAATGTATAATAAAGTGGTAAAGATAGTGAAACAGTGTGACGACAATGAAATAGAAACTAATAATGTGAAGGATAGGCTAACTGATAAAATTATTTCAATTGAAGAAATGAATATAGATGATAATATCAAATCATTTTGAAGAATAAATTAAAAGAATAGATGATGAAAATTTTAATAAGAATGAATGAAAAGCATTTTAATAATTATAATAATTATTTTATATTCTTAAAGTGATACAGGAATTGTAAATAATGAGATATACGTATTTAAAGAGACTTTATTGATATTATTTATGTATTGAACAAGACTTACAAAACCAATAAAATACATGAATAAATTATGTATTAAAAACTTTATTTTGATTTTTTTGAGGAAGATTTGAAGAAAGCAAGAGGAATTTTATAAAGAGTCTTACAATCATTTCCAAGAGCAACTAAATAAGGGTCAGTTTGGTTATTAACACATTCTATCCTAGCAAGTGAAATCTTTGTTCCTTCTTTTTCTAATTTAATTTCTTTTTCAACAAATAATGATTTATCTGCAATATTAATAATACGAATACTCTTATCGAAAATAACACCTATTTGACTATCTGAAATAATACAGAAATCAATAAATTTAGTACTATTGATTGCTTTTATTATTTTAAAAGAAGAATTAAAAATTGATAATATTTTTGTTTCACTATCATTTACAAAGAGATAATCATGACTTGCTCTAACCTTGATAGGATCTTTAAATTCTATTTTCGAATTTATTTGTTTTAATGTCTTTCTCTCTTCTCCATCTTTATAAGTTAATCCATGTGGACAAACACTTACTATTTGACCCATAAATTCACAGCATGATTTAGCAGAAATATTAACTTTATTAACTTCTTCATCTTTTGATGTAATAATTCCATTATCCGTTCCAAGTAAAAGAGTTCCATTTTCTGTAAATCCAATATCATTAACAATTTCATTTGGAATATTTGCAAGAATGTTTTTACTTTCGTTTAATTCAATTACTCCATCTTTACGGTCATAAACAACTATTACCCCTCCATTAATTCCAAATGTTGTTTGTTTGTCTGGAATTTCACAAATTTCTGTAATAGCTGATCTCTTTTCTTTTGGTAGTATTGGTAATATTTGTAACACTTTTTTTGGTTCTTCTTTCACACTATTTTGATTTATAGAAGAAGAGCTTTGTTTGACTTCTTGTTGTTTATGTTCTGTGTCTTTATAAGACGATGAACTTCTTGTAGAAATGTTCTTATTTTTTTTATCAATCATCTCTTGAATTGAAGCATCGTAGTCTTCTGGAAGAACAAGGTATTTATTAAATGTAGCTTTGACAATATTTTCAATAGTTTTTGGTAATGTGTTTTGTATTTCTGTTATTTGGATTAAAGAATTAACAGATGTTTGGATTGACTGAACCATTTTTTGTAATTGATCAATTTTTTGACTTAACTCAAGATATTGCTGTGGGGTTATATCTGTCATTAAAAAATAATAATTTTTAAGATTTTTTCTAAGAAACTATAAGATTTTTTTTCTCTGTAAGTCTTTTTTCATGTGAAAAATAAACAAGTTTTTCAGGAATAATTGATATTTCAAAGTCAAAAAAAAACATTAACTATTTTATTCTTCAATCATTTTTACAGAAAGTAGTAGTTTTATAATAGAAACTTTGTTGTTAATACTGATTGCAGAAGTAATAATCACATTAAAATTACTTCTTTTACAAAATTTCAATAAAAAACAATTAATTTAAAATGATAAATAATAATTTCATTACAAAGAAAATAAAATAAAAACCTGTCATACTCTCAAAGTCTAACTATAAAACATAAAATTCACAAAGAAAAAATAAAATGATATGACAAGACATTTCTTTCATTTATGTAAGGGTAGAGAAAAAGAAAAGTATTATAAAAATATAATTCACATTAACTTATGAGAATAACATTGTCACCAAACAACAAATATTTGTCTAACATCAATTGAAAGAAATCAAAAACCGAGAAGAATCAAATAAAAGATAATAAAACAAATATTTTAATAAAGAAAAAAAAAAAAAAGAAAAAAAAAAGAAAGAAAAAGAAACTAGAAAATAAATAAAAAAAAAAAAAGAAATGAATGAAAATAAAGAAATATTTAAAGAGAAATTATTTAAATATTTAGATAAATTTATAGAAGTGAGTATAGAAGGGAAAAATAAAGAATTAATATTAACACCGGGATTAGTAATGTTTATGAATGGGATGGCACATCCATCATTTGGGAAAAGAAATGGGATGAGTGAATTTTTTAGACGAATTAAACATATTAAAATTGAACCTGAATCAGGAGAAATCTTAGGAGGGATACAAGAAGGGAAAAATATTAAATTACCTATAGGATTTGTTTCAGCATGTAGTATTACACGATTACATATTCAAGATTTAAAAGTATTTGTAAATATGACAACAAAAGGATTAGCGGAGAATTTAATAGAATTAACAGTAGAAAATAGTAGAATTCAAACGTTAGAA